ATAAGTTACAACCCTACAATTACTATCCTGTTAGTAACCTCTTCATTAATGGTTATTAATTTCCTCTTTCTTGCAATTTATTCAAAACTCCAATCCCCACATATCCAAAAAAGAATGATCATCAAGACTATTTCCCTATGTGGCACTATTGTTGTCAATTCAAATCTTCGGGAATTTAATTTATATAATTCAAACAACAACAAAAAAAGAAACAAAGACTTATCTTTTTAAATTATGCACCCAAAACTGTACTCTACCGCTTGACAACTTACTTAAAATGATAACTAAACAAATATTTAACTAGTCACAACTTTTATATACATACCTGAGATTCAAGTGCATCAATACAAATACTTTAATAATGTACATTTGCACATGAATACATTTATACACTTTCTTAGTAATGTATTTGTTTTTATATGTGAAAGGAACACCATATTAGACATGAATCATTATAAGTATGTTAAGATACAGTTGTGTTTTTGTTTTAGATAAATGATTAGTCTTTGAGTACATTTATAATGAATATGAATATAATGGCATATTATTTGACAAAATATTATACCTTTACATTTAAGTATGACACTAGATATTCAATTAGTATTCAATATATTAATATTGTTATAAACAATGAAAATGACATTAGTGTATAATGAAATATTTCTCAATTTTCTAAATATATTTTATTAGTTCATTATGTTACATTAAGATTGAATTTAAAAATTTATCTAAAAGTCAAAATATTGTCAAAAAACCAAAGATTTTCATTATACTCGACAATAAAAAGTAGATAGGTGGGGAACTAAACATAATAATAATAATAATAAATTAGACTGATAAATGTAAAAGTAAGTTTTATTTTCCATTAATTATCTCCAAACAAAAATGTTTTGTGGCCAAACGATGGTAACATTAATTGAAAGCATGCAATTGATTTCTAGTTGACATTAAATGTAAAGGAACACACTATTTAGATAAATGAATAACTAATTATTATTCACTAAGTTTGTGCATTATGTTTGCATATTGTTTTTTTTTTCTGACATTAGACAGATAGACAGAGTAAATAAACAAGATGTAAACAGATAGCTATTTAAATATTCTGTAGGTCAGGTTTAGAAGGAATATACACAATCACCGTGCTGGTAATAATAATTCTAATAATAATAAGTACCACAATGCGCGCACACAAACACACAAACACTCACGTTATTTAACTGTTCAGAATTTTTTGACATCATGTTTATCTTAAATTGTAGTATATTTAAAGAATAGAAAATAATTGACCACTGTCAAGATGTCACATCAGGATAAATAAAAGCTAGAATGAGAAGCCACAGTAGTTGACCGCTTCTCTTCACTGCTTATAATTCAAATAAGGAAGATTATGAAGAAAATAAGCACTTGTGTTATGGGATTGTTCTAGCTATCCTACTAGTTATAAATAGTTAATCAACTCTGTGCTTCAAAAAAAAACACATCTAGATGAGATTGATTCTAGGCGTAAAGAAATTGCTTTCAAACTTAGTTAATCCATTTCTTTTTTAACATTTTGTATTAGATCTGTCTTCTGTTACTCCAACTTTCTTATAGTTTAATCATATTGTAAAAAACAATATAATCACCTTATTGGTTAGTCAAGGGTTTTAACATCAGTAAACAGTATTATCAGTCTAATTATTGGACCTAAATTGATTAAAGAAAATCTTCTAACAGGGACGACTTCATTTGATTATCTTAGAACATTTATATCCTGACAAACGTAGACCACTCTTGTTATCACAATAAATATCTGACTGACAATGTCGTGTGGTTTATCTTCCATATGTAATAAGGCTATTTAGCATACTACTTTCATCAAAATATGAGAATTGTAACTAGCGAAAGAACTTTAATTAATAATACACCATTCTTTGTGGGAATGTTTTGTAGATTAAGGGTTAGAAAAGCAATTAGGTATTGTTTCCGCCAACCAAATGTTAAAATTTACTAGTATTTTTACTACAATTGTTATCAGATACTATGTTGTGCCCATATTAACAGTGACATCATATCGAACTCTCATTACTAACACTATCATGCGAACTCACAATCAAGTAACTTACTAGCTCTCCATAAAACTGCGAATGCATTAGTTCATGTTTCTTACAATATAGTTAATACTCAAAATCTAGCCATACTCATTGACTCTCAAACCCTGTGATTGTAATACACATTTGGTGGCGACGAGAATTCTGATACTGTTGAGTGACTAAATTTTATTTGAAGTTCATTGAAATCGTAAGCCGATCCAGGGTGTACTACCGCTGAAAGACTGGAAATACTAAACTGCCACTTCGGGCTAGTATGGGGCTCCTTAGAAGTGCGGACCCTGGGACCCCGCGGGATTCGAACCTAAAGCCTCTGGTTCATACACGACTGCCTAACCTCTAGACTACTGAGCTAACGTCCTACGGATTAATGCCTAACTTTAATCAATCAACGACATTAGAGTTCACGAATCAATGATGAAGTTTTCCAATCATTAACTTATAACCAAAACATGAAATATTCTAAATACGAGGAATTTGAGTGAACTGTCTACTGCCTACCCTGTCTGTGTGAATATCTAGAAGAACGTTACATTATTATCTGTTGTTTAATAAAGGTGGATCTTATTCAATACAGGTATGTCACTCATTCCACCTGGAGCTCCTCTAGGATAAACAGTTATCCAAATCCCGGATAAAGGATGGCTGGGCCTATGGTTACCAGTCCTACCTCGTAATAAAGAACCTCGCTAACCAGAAAAAGTAATCTAAACCGTTTAAATTTGCTTTGAGAACTGAAGGGCTTCCATATAAAATAGTTAACACACCTCAAAGTGAAAGTTTACATTATTCGAAAGCCAAGAGACCAACACTTTTTCTAACAACCAGAGCAACAGTAAATATAGGTAAATGAAATATCCGGATAACATGGGTTAACATAAGGGTTATTTAAGTAGAAGCAAAAATGAGAGAATACGGCCTATTCACGTTTGGAATAAGTGGAACCCGTTGAACACAATCTGTGGATAAAATGACTGTACTAGGATAGATATTATACACTGGCTACAAAAAATGTCTCCCCCCCACACACACGATAAGTTGCACTGATGCTGTCTATTGAAGCATAAAAATCGTTTATACGACGGGAATCTCATAAAGTTTTTATTTTAATCTGTTTATAACCTAAACTAAAACACTTTCAATCACTCATTAAACCCAGATAAATCTAGGCCTTAATCAAGTAATAAATGTACAGAATTGATCAGTTTATTATTTAATCTTAGATGCTATTTAAAGCACTAACATGTTATGTATATGTACACCATGTTTATAAGTCGAATTCAAATTGATTTCATTAGACTTGCCAGTTTTTACATCATAATGTAAATAAATATATATATGGAATACATTAAAAACTACTAAGATTTGGTCATTTAAACAAAAATTAATTTTAAACATTAAATTCTTATAGCTTTATCATAAATTTATCATAATTAATACAAACTACAAATAGACTTTTGTTCTTAAATATTCTTTCAGTGTTCATTTATGTGTGATAAAACATGAATGAGAACCATGTTTAGTTCATAATGACTTTGATGGTTTAGTGTTCAGGATTTGTTGATCAAGAAATTAAATGATATATATATATAAAATAACCGTTTCACTCATCAATACAGAATGACAGATATTAAGCCACTAATGAAAGAAGTAGTTATGAATGTGTAATGCTTAATTATCAGTTCAAACGGATGTGAGATACAATTGCACTGAAGTGAATATTTTCACAAATATTAAAACAAGTGCTTTTCATTCTTATCACGGGAGAAATTTTCCTTGCCCTCCAAGATACTTTCGTGCTATGTAAAACAAAAAGTACAATAAGCTAGAGCTAAACCTTTTTGGAACTTTTTGCTAACTCTTGGTTTACTAGTTTTACTTATCTTTACAATCTGTCAAAGTTATCACAATAAACTAAAGGAAACTTAAATGTTGGCAAGAAAATTTTTTTTAATTTTAACTTGCTTTAAGCATATTCTTTTCAAGAAATCAGATCGTATTACTGGACGTAATGCTTGCATCATACAATATATTTATACAAAAAGATATATAGATAAGAATTGTTTGATATCAGTAGGGCTTTTGTGGATATTATAGTCAGTTTAATAGTTGAGATCATGAGTTAATTGAAGCTAGACCACCATGGAAAACCTGAAAGCACTGTCCTATTGTGGGACTCCTCAATATTGCGCATCCACGACCCCGCCGCGCGAGACTCTAACCCAGGACCTATCGGTCTTACGCGCGAACGCTTAAATTCTAGACCACTGAGCCGGCATCCAACGGTGTTATTGTCTAACTTCAACTGACCCATGAAATTGAGCGACATATCCACCACTGTCTTCAATGAATTATTATCTCACAACAGGCCCGGTTGAACTCCACTGGTCACTTCTTCTCACTAGAACTTCAGGAAAAACCTCTTGAAGTCAAATTGTTTGATGTTTTACAATTTACCTGATAAATATTTGTTTGAAAAATAAGTTTCGTTTAAACTAACTATCATACCGTGTACGTATGAGAAATATAAATTATATACAGATAAAAAAAGTTAGTTAATAACCACAAAATGTAGATGTCAAATGTCTTAATAAAATTTATTATCTTTACGTTTGGTTAGGTGTAAAGGCCTTTCGTATTATTCAATAAGTTCGTCATGAAAACAGTGGGATAAACAAGATAAACTGGCGTCCTCATATAATTATCTAATGAATTTGTTATTTTAGAGTTCTCTGACTAAAACGTTATTCGTTTACATCATTCATCTAATGGAAAACGATTGAATTAGTAGTTTGAAATAAAAATAAAACATTCTTCAAACTAAAACCCCATTAATTTCTAACATCAGGATCTACTCAGTAAACTCAATGGTAATATTTATAATAATAGTAATAGCTATTTTAAACTTACATGCTTCTTTAATTTCTGTCGTATTGCTGATAACTTTTTTTGGTCTTTGTAGCTTAACCACTTTGTTCCACGCTTCACAATGACAAACATATGTATCGAACCATTCCTCCACATCTTTAGCTCTGACTTCCAAGCGTAGTTTCCAACGTTTACCATCTGGATCTGGTAAATTATCTGAGTTCAATCTTTGAATCTCCAATATTCCGGACTCACCGGGACCTTTGTACGGTATTGTTTGTTCAGCACATTTGATAGCGGCATGTGAAACTGGTTCAGCTACACATTCAATTGTAGCTGGTTTATTTTTCGTTGTATAATATAGTGGTTTAGGATGTTGAATAAAGATTGGAACACCCTCTAAATGTGTTTCATCTGGTTGTACTAAATCCTCTTGTGAATCAGCTGGAATAGGATAAGAAAGTGTCAGGAAAAGTTTAGCTACAGTCAATAGAAATCTTTGTAACATTATTTTGTGAAATATTTAAAATTGACTTAGTAATTCTAGTGTATTAAGTTTTCGAATCAAATAATTTGGTGATAAGCATTTTGAATAGGATTAGATGAACATAAAAAATGGACTTTTATGGAAATAATTTTTATATGCATCTGATAAACTGGAAATTCAGCAGATTTTGCTTGATATGAAATCAACCAATTATGGAGTGACTTATTTATTCTGTATTAACCAATCAGAACGAGAATTTACATACAAACGAACCAATCATCTCATTGAAGTAATATTGTGATTTGAATACAGTTACTATGGTATTAAAACGAACTACTTCAAAATCACTCGTTTCGGTTCAGATAAGCCCTTCAAACTATGTTGGATTAATTCGTGTTTTTGTATATTTAATAACCACAAAAATTATTGGTACTATTGGCTAAAAAATATTTGATTGGTTTATTCCGCATAATTCGGGTTGTGAAGAACTTGATTTTTCATTATGAGATGAAATTTAAATTCAGATTGTTTACTGAATAATGTTTATGATTGCAAAAGTACAGAAACCAAGGCCATAAAACTCAACTTAAATGGATAATATAAAAAGACGTCTGGAACGCAAATCTGTATTTCTCTTGTAAAACCAATAGATTCATGTATTCTCTGTAAACTATTTAAGATCTTGCTAAAATCTTCCTACCAGCTGCATTATTTGAGAATATACTGGAAAATAAATAAACAATTTTCCAAGTATTCATCTTGACACCTTGTTTAGTTTTGAATTATTAGTAATAAAAGATTAAGGGTGTAACAATAACTCATATTTATTATTCCTTGTTTATGCTAAGAAATTCAAGTGAAAATTCTTATTCTAAATTATGTTGCGGCTCATTTAACGAACAGCTAGACAGAATTATGTCAAAGTTATTTATATCATAAATAAAACGTCTAAAATAAGATAATAGGATACTAAATCTTGATTACCAGTAGGCTACGATTGTGTACGGTAACAACGGTAGGAAATATATCTCAATCTGAATACTATTATAACGTAGTAAATATATATATACCTTGAAATATAGTCATTATTGTCAATAGTTGGGAGAATTCAATCTGTATAATGTAATTTAATCATACTTTTTTAATAACCGCAAAAACGAAAGTGGGTAACTTTATTTTATTAACTAACGAAAACGACACTTACATACTGAACTATTTTGCAGACACAAGTATAAAGTTAATAAGGAAATTGTGATACTTGATAAAATCAAAGGCATTTACCCTACTTATCATCTAAATTCAAATCAAATGTACATGTTTGATAATAAATACCAGGGTATTACAAGAATAGCCTTACATATTGGGATCGAAATAAATGTCATCTAAAAAAATACTAGCTAAAAATGCTTCGCAATTATTGTCATGTAAGTTTAGTTTTCAGCGTCATTGTGCACGAGAGTGATTAATAATACGAATACTATAACATTTTGGATATTCACCTATTCTGTATAAAATAACTTGACATGAGTTAAAATATCTTACTGGATATGTTACAGATGAGTTTTTTAGCCAATATAACTAAAGTAAGTAAACAAATAAGTTACTTTATGATTAAAAAAATGTCCTTTGGCAATCTGGTCAGTAAAAAGTTACTCCTGATTCACGTAAATTATGTTTGATTAAATTGTAACTTATTATGTTTCATGCTCTTCTCGATACTAAAATATTGCTTTAATGGAACGCTGATCTGTGTTTTCTTTTATGATACATGAATCAAACATTTTATAAGAAAGTTGATAATAAACAGGATTATTTATTGGTTGACAAGACTAACCTAAGTAAACAGAATCAAAGTATATGCGTTTGTGAAATATTACAAAGTTTACTGTTTCTTTAACTGTATCCATTTTACATTCACAACAAGTACCCATTGAATGTTATGTGTAAATCTACTTCATCTTCTAATGGAAAAAAATTAGTTGCTTAAGTTTTATAACGACACTGGAATATGCTTTAATGAAATCATGTTTAATGTTCGTTTTTAAACAGAATCCATGTATTTTGTATATAAAATTCTCAAACATTTTTCGATTGGTTAATATCATATTCGATCATTTATAAACATTAAGTAATTTTATTTTATTTGTAGTAATGTTACTGAATATCAATAAGTAGTATAGTTGTGATTGGGATTTTTCTTCAATTGGACAATTATTTCAATAGTAGCACAAAGTAGTCCAATGGAATCACCATCGTAGTAAGCGATCAACAAAATTCACCACGTTTAAAAATGGTTCAAGCATAGTTTATCCAAGTTTCAAAATATTTTCATATATATCACGACTAGTACAATGGAAAATAAATTATTATCGAGAAAACAAATTAACATTTCTAGTTCCCAAATAAACCCATCGGTTGATTTTAAAATTGAAGTATCCACTTCAAATGGAAGTAAATGTAATGGATAGTGATGGAAATTTAGTCATACAGAATATATTTTAGATATGTTCCTAAACAGGTTCTGTATTTTAAATGTAAACATTTTGAACATTTGTCTTAACATAATTCAATTATTTCTGACCTGTCATAGATTGTTATAAGCAAATTTCAGTCACTTAATAAATAATTGTGACATTTGTATGACATTTTTAGTGGCCATAAACGAAAACAATTCATTTTATTGAAATAAATGGCAAATTTTCTGTGTTCATCATTTTATAGATAGAATAGAGAGTCTTCATATTATACACAGAGTTCTTTACTCATTTCAACTTTTATAAATTTCTATTGTAATGCACTTATGACAATCATAGATACATATATACGAAATAATTAGCTTTTTAAGCCATTTTGTATGCTATTACTAAACTACAGTGCATTCTTAGTGTTATGGGAAGAGGTTTACATTTGTTATTCTCTTTTTAACCTAATTTTCTGTTATTTTACAAAAAGATTACATTTGTATCTTGCTTTATTTTCCTAAAAAATAAACAGTTCATTAACATAATATTTTATAAACAAAATTTAATTTAAGTGCACAGTCTAGCATATGTCCAACATGTTTTTCAACAAAATTACCTGTCAACCAAATGTAGCACATAGTAGAAAAACAAAATAAAAATTTGAATACTGATAGACAAATTAGAAGAGATGACCATTTCAGTTATTTATATTAGACATCCCTACAGGCATATTTATAATAACCTATACATATGATTTGGAAACTTCATTTTATAGACGACTGTGTATGATTTCATTGTTGTTTGAATTACTAGATATTAACCGAGAAAAATTCGCAAGATAACCAGTTTCTTTTCTTCATTCACTAGACAAAAATCCAAAAACAGCGAGTTTAATTTTAAAATCAAGTTAAAAAATGCTCGAAAACATAGTTATCAGTAGTTTTTTTTTATTATTCCAGAATCCAAAAAGCATTGAGATAATTCACTCTTATACTTTCGTTATTTATTCTTGTTGTGGAAGAAAACAGATTTAAATGCAAAAGATAGAAAACTTCCTAAACCGAATAAAACAATCTATAAGTGAAAATCATCAAAGATATTTAGTATGATAAATCATGACATTGTAGTTTTTTTATTAAAATAAAAGATAAATGAAAAGTTGAAAAAACATAATTTAAAAACTTGGTACAAAACAATGATCTTTTGACACCCTATTCATACTGAATGTTAGTTATATTTGAACAACCAGGAAAATTCAAAACAGTTACATATAAAGCTCACATCAAAACATTTTCTGTAGTCCATTTACAAGACTGCACTGTTTACGTTAAAGCTGTGGGTTGAAATTGTAGCAATAATCTTATTACTCAAAGAAATTTTGAGAGATAATTTCTTTGTTTTCAAGTAACCTATATTTTATGAACTCAACCAATTGCTAGATGATTACCTTTATGTTTCTAGCAGCCTTAATTACTTATTATTTTTAAATGATGAGTGTTTATACTTTTTGTCAAGATTAAAACGTAATTTTCAATTGGTAAAACTGCCATATCCTCGGCACCTTTTGACGAAATTTACATCAAAGACCTAAAACAAAATGTACCAGTTTTCTTGTAACATAATATCAATTAATGTTTCTGGATACACTTTCATACTGTAGGATAATGTTAATAGTCAGTAGTGTTTTTACACTACTTTATGAAACTTATATAACAGCATTGTAGATACTAAAGCTTAAGAGGATTAACTATCTACTAACGTTCCATATATATTGGTAATTAATTTTTGTTCTCTATAATTATAGCAAATGGCATGCAACAGCCATTTAAACAAAGCATATTGATGCCAAAATGAATTTTTAATACTTTAATATGACTCGTTGTTCGAATTAGTAAACCCTTTTCTCCACTCATTTTAGGTTACCTTTATTCAACAAAACAGTCAAATTCTACTTAACATGAAAATATTGCTATTTTCACCCAGCCATCCCCAAGGTTTACACACATTTATTTGACTTGTATATTCTTTTTGACTTTAAGATGATTGTTTCATAGCATATATTTTCATCTTCATCTTTCTATCCTTCAGAACTGTAATAATAAGACTTAAGGCGATGAATAACACCAGATATTTTTATAGTTCACGTTTGGCTACTTATAAGTAAACGAAAAATATAAACAAAATATATTGACATGACTAAAACACAGATCCTTGGGATTGTAATAACTTATTCAAAAATAATATCCTTAGTTTTTATTGAAAGATTAACTCCATTCCGCTGAATCATTCAAAGAAGCACTTTGTTTCTTTTTTGCCTTGTTGAAACTTTTCCTCTGTATATCATTTATTTTCAACAATCTAGTGATTGTAATAAGTCCTACATAAATTTCATGATATATAAACATTGAGACTACTTTACAATTAACCAGCTATTATTCTCAGTAAAATCTCACTATATGATCATATTTAAACAAGTGGAAGTTAAAAATTTTTGA